GATATAGATATAGGCGTAAATGAATATTGGATACTCACACCCACACTCACCCGCACCCACCCACACCCACACCCACACCCACACACATCCGCACCCACCCTCACCCATCCACCCACACCCTTAATGATTGTAAATGCGATATTCTTGGAAAAATCTTCAATACACTTAAAAATAAGAATGAGTTAAAAGCTGTTGGTAAATATTTCTTCTAGCAGATGATGGTCTTTTCGAAGAATTGTTTTATCATTTGCAAACAAAAGTAATTCGAAACTAAGAACGCAACTGATTACAGCTTTCAACTGAAACTTCAGTATGCCTACGCGTAGATATCAGAGCTGCCAACAGGCCACTTTTTTCTGTCCTGGCCTGGCCTGTGGCCTGGCCTGCTTACTCTGACTCAGCCTGGGGGTTTGAGCGCGGTGGACTGTCACAGTTCTTGGCCTGGCCTGGCAGGCCACCAGGCGCCTGCCCAGGCCGGCAGCTTTGTTTCAAATCAATTAAATTCTATAACAATAAACTGATGTATAATTCCAGTTTCAATTATTTTTAGTTTGTTTTCATAGTAACAGTTTCTTACACAAAATAGTAAATTAAAACAAAGAGATAATCGTCATATATATTTTTCATACGAAAAAACCTTGAATTATGGAGATTTTTAATAATATCTTTAGTTCATCACGCAGTCAAAAAATATTTTAGCATAATAATAAAAACAACATATGATTAGAGACACGATGAACAGTTAAAAGAAAACACATAAATATGTTGCAAAGAATAAGGACGAGTGATAGCGACAAGAAAAAATATTTACATGTGATTATCCAATTTAGCAACACTATGAATACAAAAAATCACATTATCGAGTTGTTCAGGATCTAAACAAGTTTTCTACTTGTCAATATAAGTCCAGTAATACTGAATTGTCTCTATATTTCAGCACTAATAACTGGAATACTGTAAATTTGTCTAGTCAGTTGTGGCAAACATCTAATGTCTCAAGATCATTACTAGAGAAAATAATATAATTTTTCAGCCAGGCCAACATTTTCGGCCTGGCCTGGCCTGCACCAGGCTAGATGTATTGCCTGGACGGCAACAGGCCAGGCGAAATTGTCAAAATCCAACCTGGCCTGGAGCCTGGCCTGGCAGGCCACCAGGCGCCTGCCAGGTGCCTGGCCTGGCTGGCAGCTCTGGTAGATATGAGTATCGACAAGATGTGGGTGAGTTGAGTGTTCTGTTTAAACATCTTTCATTCACATCGACACCCATAATAGTTGAAGATATAGATATAGGCGTAAATGAATATTGGATACTCACACCCACACTGACACCCACCCCTCACATCGAAACCCACATCCACACCCACATCGACCTTCCATATAGATGATAGTTATGAAAACAATAGTGCTGGAAAAAATTCGATACACTGAAACATAAGAATAAGTCAAAAGCTGTTGGTAAGTATTTCTTCTTCCAGACGATGGTTTTTTCGAAGAATTCTTTTTATTATTTGCAAACAAAAGTAATTTGAAACTATGAAAAGAATTGATTCATACAGCTTCCAACTGGAATTTGAGTATGTATGCAGGTTAATATAAGTATCGACAAGGTGTGAGTGGGTTTAGTGTTCTGCTTAAATATCTTTCATCCACACCCACACCCATACTAGTTGAGGATATAGATATAGATGTAAATGAATATTGGATACTTACACCCACACCCTTCTAATCATTACCCATCTCATCTTCATGATAAAGCTATTGGTTTATGACATGCTCAGCACCAATAATCTACAAATCCTGCTGAAACATCATCAAATTCTCGTTCACTTCCATCACAACCATTAGCAACAATTGAATTATCTCAGCATGAAATTCAACGTGTTACTGAAGTTCGTCAATTATTTAATCATCAACATCAACCGTGAAAAAATTTGAAAGAATCTTCATCAAATATTGATAATAATAAAGAAGATAATCTTTCTATTGATCACGTTGAAGATGTTATTCAATTTGAAAAACTCTGTATAGTTTATTTCACTATTTTGAACTACTTGATCGTAATTCAGATATTGATAAATATTTACCAGGTGATTTACAAAAGAAACAACATTCATCATTATATCAAACATTATATACAAAATGATTTCGTTTACCTATAAACGGATTATCGTCAAAAAATTCTTGATACGATTAAACAAAATCAAATATTTATTCTTGTTGGAGAAACTGGATCACGTTAATTGATTTCGAATAAATAAATCATAAATTAGGTTTTCTTTTAAGGTAAAACAACACAAACAGCACAATTTATTCTTGATGATTATATTTTAAAAAATAAAGCAAGTCAATGTCGAATTATTTGTTCTCAGCCACGTCGAATTAGTCGTCAGTTATAAAATTTAAAGAGATACGAAAAAAAGTGAGTTGTTATGCTTATTATTATATTAATACAACGATTGAAAATTGCACATAAATGAATGTCGACGTAGAGATAAATATATATAAATATATTACTGATCCAACTAACTATTATGGATTTCATAAAGAAAAAAAGATAAGAAAAATAAAATAGAAAAGAAGAAAATTAATGAGGACCTAACATCTTGATTGCAAAAATGATTAACCTCGAATATATCTCCAAAGATAAAAGAATATTTTTGGTAATTGTGCATCGAGAAAAATTGTCTGTTTCATATATAACTTTCAAAAATAAAAAGAATCTTTTTTATCGATAATAATAAATATCACCAGATATATTTGTATTCAAACATAAAAAGTATAATTAGATAAAAACGTTAAAGTAAAAATTATAATTATCATACGTAGGTGAAGTAGCCATTCGATTCGAGTATTTTCACCGGCGATTCGCCTGTGGTGCGTCCCAGACGAGCTTCCGATGTAACTCGACGAGCTCTATCGAATGGTGAAATCCGAATTACGATAGCTCAAACTATACCCCTCAAAACCCCAAAATACCAGGTTTTTGGTACATGATATAAGGGTTCTGAGAAGTATTTTCACCGGCGATTCGCCCATGATGTGTTCCAGAGGGTTCCAGACGAGTTCCAAGTGCAACTGGGCGAGCTCTATCCATTGGTGAAATCAAATTTCCGATAACTCTAACTGAACTCGAAACAAGTCCAAAATACTGTGGTTTTTAGGTGTATCTTTATTAGCCGATTCAAGTATTTCAACCGGCGATTCGCCTATGATGCGTTCCATACGCGCTCTAAGCACAATTCAACGAGCTCTATCGAATGGTGTGCTCAGATTTTTTATAGCTGAAACCAAACTTTTTTCGATTTTGGTGACGTCATCTGTAGGTCAAAAAAATTTAGTTTGAGCTATAAAAAATCTGAGCACACCATTCGACAGAGCTCGTTAAATTGTGCTTGGAACCCTCTGGAACGCACCACAGGCGAATCGCCGGGGGAAATACTCGAATCGGATGGCTACTTCACCTACGTAATTATCATCATGTTTTTCTTCTTGTGCTTGAATATTATCTTGTGTTTTTTCATCAATCATCATCAATTATCTTGTATACGACCGTCATCATTTTGCATCTTAAAAGTATTTTGACCTTTTGATAAAATCGTATCTACTATACCATACGGTGTTAACATAATGGGTTGATAACAAATTAATGCTTTACCATTATAATCGAGAATTATGAGTTGCAAACGATAACGATCAGCAGTATACTTAAGACGTACATTTAATAACAGGTCCATTTCATGTGGTATATCTGGCAATTCCTTCTCCCATTTATGAGCAAGACGTTTTTTTTCATGTTTTGGTGCATTCGGATTATACGTATGTATTTCAAATTTAAGTAGATATGGTCCTTGAAGTTTGTTTTGTTGAATCTTATTGGGCAATTTGATGAATATTTTCCCAAGATGAGGGTGGGTGTGGGTGTGGGTGTGGGTGTGCATTATATTAGAAGCAGACTGACACCCTCACCCACACTCACACCCACACCACATTCACACACCCACACCCTCAAGATTATAAATGCGATATTATTGCAAAAAAATCCGATACACTGAAACATAAGAATGAGGTAAACACTGTTGGTAAATATTTCTTCTTGTAGACGATGGCTTTTTCGAAGATTTTTTTTATTATTTGCAAACAAAAGTAATTCGAAACTATGAAAACAACTGATTCACACAACTTTCAACTGAAATTTGAGTATGTATGCAGGTTACTATAAGTATCGACAAGGTGTGGGTGGGTTTAGTGTTCTACTTAAATATCTTTCATCCGCACCCACATCCATACCCATAATCACATAGAACCATTTAAAGATTCATTTAGCACGAAGGCAATATGAAATGATAGTTGGGTCTGGAAGACTTTCGATTCAGACAAACTAGTAACATTACTTTTAACGTTAAATATAAACCTGAATCAATGAAGATCACTTGAAAGCTTTGAATAAAATTGGATGTGCTTTCAGATTTCAATTATTATAATCGATTTTGAACGTAAATCTAGTTTCTAACTTGATTATTCATTGTGCAAATCTACAAGAAGAAAGGAGTCTTTTCAAACTGATTGTGACATTAAAACTGATTTTAATCGAATTATTTAAAAGAAAACAATTCTTTAGGAAAAAATCAAAACAGCTTCTTCATGATTACATATTTACATATTTATTAATTAAACAGTTTTTATTGAGAGACAGGCACTACTGCAAAACCATCAACATGAGCAGCAGATGTTTCATGTTTTCCATTATTTGATGGTAAAATAGGTACAACTAGAATAATAGCATCAATTAACTGCTGAGCAAAAAATTGGATATTGCTAAAAATTTTTGCATTTGAACCAAGATATTGTTTAACTTGTAGGAATAGTTGATCAGCAGCCACATATATACCAACTTTCTCATCATAGACATCGAGAGCTAGGTAAACAATTTGCTGTGCAAGTGAGTTCAATTGTGGTGATGAGAAGGCATTCGTAATTTGATCAATGGCATCGACGAGTTGATTAACTAAATCCTATGATGAATTAAATAAATCAAATTTAAGATTATATTAAATAGTAAACTGAAATTACTGAATATTTTGGAAATACAGCAATAACAGCATTCCAAGTATGAAGTTGCAATTGATCGAGTAATACAAGAAGATCATTGAGGCTAGTATGGGAAGCAGATACTTCATGTTTTCCAATATTTGATGGTAAAATAGGTACAACTAGAATAACAGCCTCAGTTAATTGTTGAACAAGAGGTTTGACGGTACTAAAAACTTGTAAATTTGAGCCAAGATATTGTTCAAGATGTTGCAGTAGTTGATCAGCAGCTGTAATACTATCAACTTTACCATTATAAACATTCACAGCCAGTTGAACGGCTTTTTGTTGTAGTATTTGCAATTCGATTGGTGACAGGACATCAATAATTTGACCAGCAATATTATTGAATTGATCGTTCAAAATCTATTTAAAAAATATATCCGAATTTCATATATAATCGATAGCTTAAAATGATTTACCTGTAACGAAGACGATGTTGTAATGATCGCATTGAATTTATTCATTTGAGAAATGATAGGTTTACTGTACACAAAAGCAATAGCAACAATAAGACAAGCGCATAACACCAAGAGACGCATATTTAAAGTTATTTTATATTAAAATCAATTGAATAAAGTATAGTTTTCTAGTACCTTTTATACTTTAAGCTTCGCTTCGGTTTAAATTGTCATATGATGATATTTTTCAAAAGACACATGCTGTTTTTCACTTCGATCATCCGATTATTTCATTTTCTTTTCAGAAAGAAAGATAAAGTAATATCAATAGTCGCAGTAAAAAGTAACCTAATTCCAGTTAAGCCAGTATAAGGCATTATGGATAGTCACATGTGCATCTGTAACCTTAATCTAAGGTCATAATTGTCTGAGTTTGAATATTATTTCTAAGAGCATATATAAAGTTTCATCGGATGTTTTCGTATGAGACATGCAGAGTGTGAATGTCTGCGAGATAAAGTATGTGACTATGACTGATAAATAAATCAATGAGTACGGTCCATTACTGCACCTGCATCAATCCTATACAAATCGATTCGAACTGTTTAATATTTTTTCACATACACATTTTCGATCGAACATAGGTCACGTTTTTTTCTAAATATCTTTAATCTAATAAAATAAGAATACGAATTTTCTTGGATTTATATTTTATTTTAATATTTATTTATAGAAGAGAAAATTATTAATTTGTATGTGAGGAGAAAAAGGCTAAATTAATCGATTGATGATCATATCTACTGGAGAAATATTAATGATAAATATATATGATAGTCATTATTATAACCAAATATTTAAGACACGACCACATCTTTCTCGTTCAACCGTATAGTACAAAGAATTTTGTAACATTAATTCTTTCAAATCTTCTGTGTAAGCATGTAAAGTTTGTAGTGGATAATTATCAATGAGCGTCAGTCGTAATTTGAAATGAGTAAGTTGAAGAAAATCCTTTCGTAGATTTAAAATGAAATTATTCAATGTTATTGGATATTCTTGAATAAATTTTGGAATACATTGAAATGTAAGAGTGTGTAGATTAGTAAAGATTTCTGATAATTCATAGAAAAACATTGAATGATAATAATTATCATCATCAATCCATTTAATTTGAAATTCTACATTCAAACTAATTTGAAAATATTTGTTTTAAATATTGAATCATTTTTTGTGTACAACTACTCATAATAAATAAAGCTTGCAAGTTAGGAGATAGAGTAATTAATTTCGATAGTAACTGGAGTGTGGTCGATGGAATATCTTCAATGTTATGACAAAAACGTATTTCATTTAAATTTAAAAGTCTCAGATCGTTTCTTGATTCAAATTTTGATAGAAGTATAGAAGGAAGATGACAGTTTCTGGTAATATACAATTTAGAACATGTAAGTAGTGGTTCTGGCGTATGATATGGCCACAAACTAAGTTCAGATGTTGTTCGACCAAATATACTGTCACATATATTAGATTGTGGAAAAGTACCAAAACAAAAATAAGAGTCAAAACATTTTTTAATATTTGAAAAGCGAATATCAGGTTGATCTATCGTTCGTATATGATATTGAAAAGTTTCAATACGACTGAAGTTATTTACTAAACTTTGAAGTTTATCATAGTTACTAAATTCTTTATTCGGAGAGATACCAATAAGTGTCAAATCTTTCACATTGTTTTTAAAAGCATCCAAAAATATTTGCATTTGAATAAAATAGATACCATTTCTTTCGAATTCTAAATGTAATTTTTCAAGTGTTTCTGGTACTTGTTTTATATCAGGATCAGTATAATAATACCAATAATTACTGAATATTAATTTCAATTCTTTCAGATTTATCATAGTTTGAAATAATTTTGGTATTGTTCGAAATGAGGTTAAATCTACTGAAAGACGTTTAACAAAAGGCATTATTGAATTGCAGTTGAGATATGAAAGATCGTGAGATTGTAATAAAGTTAGATGAGTCAAATTATATGATGCGAAAGTGTTTATTGCTTTCAAGGGCTTTTCTTCCTTTGGAAATTGAAAGTTTATTTAAAGTTTTAAGAGATAAAATATTTGCGAGAAATTGATAAAGCTCATCAGTAGAGTTGAGTTTGTAAGTTTCATCTGATTTTAACGTTAGACATGTAAGATTTGTTAATTGATGTATATGAGATTGAAATAATCGTTGTTGTTGGCCTATTTGAAGTGTTAAAATTCGAATATTATGACCTTGTGATGGTAGAATTTCGTTGATAAATGAATAGATAGTTCGATAGTTGATATTATTTTTCTGTGTAAAATCAATATTGAACAGGTATGGATTAGTTAATTGTTGAAAACGATAATTGAGATTATTGAATGCACAAACAATATCAAGTTTAGATAAATAACAAAAGATAATTAAGAATAATTCGTCGGGTAAATATTCCATGATCGAATGATTTGATTCAAAATATTATTTGATGAAAAATATATAACGAAAGACAGTACGATGTTTTTCAGTGCAAGGATGAAAAACAAAAGGAAGACGAATAGCTCAAATGACTCATTAAACTGATAAATATCACGTGAAAATAACGATTTTGAAAAGAATATAAAAATGTTTTCATGTTGTAATTTCATAACATACAGAAAAAATATATTATAAAATTACTACTGATTCGATTAGACTATTGGTGGCTATGAGAGTGCGAGAGTAAGAAAAACGTAGAAGACATCCATCATTACCTTCAAGATGGTGATTCTATTTCAACTGATATATGCAGAAACGTACGTATTTTTAATTTAAAATATTTATCTATTCAACAAATTCTGTTGAGTTACTTTGTCTTATCTTTAATAGATAAAATAATGTTGTTGGCTAGAAAAAGTAATTGTTATTTGAGTTATATCATAATATAACGTTTTATTTTATTATACAATGAAATTTCTTTACTCTTTCTTTTGATCTTTTTTATCGTTTCGACTCATTCTATTAATTAGCAATATCTCCGATATCATTGTAGGAACGTAAAAAACGAGTATGTCCACCGATAACACTAGTAAAACAATTATATTGAGTGATGATGGTGGTTGGTGTTGGTTTGAATCGCCTGGAGCTCTACAACATGGTTCTCATATTCTGATAGGATCAGTTGCATCTGGTGGTAACAATGAAAATCGTCGTGGTAATATTGAATTACATATTTATGATTGTTCAGCACAAATTACAGAGCATGTAATATTACATGAACAATTTGAATTAGATGATCATAATGGTCCTGCTCTACTTATGAGACCTGATAATCGATTGTTAGTTCTTTATGCAAAACATAATACAGAATCACATAATTATGTACGCATTTCTCTTGCTGATACAACATCATTTCGTCAATTCACTCCAGTTCAGGTTTATTCACCATCGTTGACTACTGAACTTACATATGCAAATCTATTTCTTCTTCCAGATGAATCGAATCGTATTTATAACTTTTTTCGCGGTCTTGATGGTTCATTCAAACCATCGTATCTTTATTCAGATGATCTTGGAACAACTTGGCATAATGGTAATATTTATATTAATGTTCCATCAACACAAAAACATCGACCCTATGTACGATATATATCAAATGAACGTGATACAATACATATGGTATATACAGAAGGACATCCTCGTGATTATGATAATAGTTTATATCATATTTATTATCGAGCTGGACAATTATATCGTTCGGATGGTATAAAATTATGTTCATTACAAGTTGGACTTGATTCACCTGATCAAGGTACACAAATTTATTAAGGTGATGCACAACATGTTGCATGGATCGTAGATCTTGTTTTAGATCATAATGATTATCCTGTATCTATTTACAGTGTTCAATATAATTCAGAAGGTCTTCCTGTTGGTCAAGGTGGTGATGATTTACGATATAGATATGCACGATGGGATGGTTCTACATGGCATAATTATCCACTAGCTTATGCTGGTTGTCGTCTATATGAAGGTGAAGATGATTATAGTGGTTTAGCTGCAATTGAACCTGACGATCCATCCATAGTCTATATATCAACTAACAGTGATCCAGTCAATGGAAATCCACTTATCAGTCATAGTGATGAACAACGACACTATGAACTCTTTTGTGGTAAAACAAATGATGGAGGACAAACATGGACATGGACAGCACTTACAAGTAATTCAACGAAAGATAATCTACGACCTATGCGACCAAGACGTACAAACAAACAGAATTCTGATCGATATCGTACATTAGTATGGTTAAAAGGTAGATATCTTGCTTATACAGATTATCTACAAGAAATTGTTGCACGTATATGGGAAACCAACAATAATGAGAAGGACGAAGAAGATAAATAGTATAAAGAACTTTATATTTTTCACTATAATTATTAATATATTTATTAGATTTTTAAAGCATATTTTTTCTCTATCAAATATAATTTTGATGATATATATATATGCAACTCTGATTATGAGTTTGTAATAGATCATATAATTAATCAAATTCTCATTCTTATGCTTTTCTATTGGATGTAATCTCGAGTTTGATTGAATACTCAATATAAAAATTGATCATTAGTAATAATAAATTCCATAAGAAAAAAGCGCTCTGACGACAAATAAATACTCTCACCAACTTTTTACTTTGCAAATATGAAAATAGAATGTAGGAAAAAAAAATGCAGGAAAAAGAAAAAAAAAGGAGAAAAGTCTTTTTTTTAATTTTTTTTCCTCCATCCTTTGCCCCACTTTATTTATTTGCATCAAGTAAGAAATTCTTTATGGGCTGCGGGACATCAAATAATAGCATTGTACATACATCGATTGACGTAAATTCTGTTGCTATGATACCAAATACAACACTGTTGAATCTTGATACATCACAAACTACTGCAGGTAACTTGTTGAATTTGCACTTATCATTAATATTTATCTCATATTTTTCTTTATGTAGTTTCAAATACAAATAAAATTCAAATTCTTATTGCTAGTCACACATCTCAACAAACGATTAATGAAAGATTGAAACAAGGATTATTGAATCAGTCTCTATCGTGTGATATATTAAATGAAAGTAAACCACATTCATTGAATGCAAGAGCCAATGCTATTCAATGGTGTGATGTATTTGTTGTTGTCATTAGTCGACTCTATCAGAGAACTTCCTTTTGTATGGAAGCTATTAATTATGCTAAAGATAAACGTAAACCAATTATTACCGTTTTTGCCGAACCTAACTTTCGTCCCTATGGTGCATTAGGTGCTATATTAGCAAGTGCCATTCAATCGATTGTATTAACTGATGATAGTTCATTTGCACATGCTATCTCAGAAATTACGAAGAGTACTCGGACAAACGTAAAAAAAGGAACGAATACTGTGAATGTCAAAGATCCATCAGAAGTGAGAATGATTTAGAATAATCATTTGTTTTAAATGAAGGTTTGATTTTGTCTAGATGAATAATGAAGATGCTAGTACAATACTTCCATCAGGTTCATCAACGTGTACAGTACTTATTTGTACTGTTGATGATGGTAGTGCTGTCGCTCAACTTGTCTTTGATTCGCTTAAACCTACTCAATTATCTGTAATTATTGAAAACTTATCAAAATCAAATGCTACGTGTAGTGTAGCTAAATGTACTGTTTTTGTACCAATTCTTACTCCTCAACTCGAACAAACAACACTTTGTCGAGCAGCATTTGAACAAGCTCGTCGCCTCTCTAAACCAATCGTACCAGTGATGGCTGTTAAAAAATGGCGGCCAGAAGGTTGGCTTGGATTAGTTATTGCTGGAAGAATATTTTTTCGTATTTTCGATCAAGACACAGCATATAAACCATTGTATGATAGCAATCGTATTACTGATTTACGTGTTGAAATTGAAGTGAGTAAATTAAATATCATATAATATGAAATAATACTTTAAAGACTGAAAATAAATGAATTAATTTCAACTGAATGCTTTGTTTGTATTTAAAAGTTTGCATGTCAACCAATGCCAAGTGACGCTGAACGTGAAGAAATTGAGAAAAAGGCAATTCAAAAGGAGCTTGATGATTGTAAAAGTAAACTATCAACATGGCCACCAATGCGTAAATCTCGCATTGTTAATTTAACGAAAGTTAGACAACCTGTTAGAATTCAATTTCCAGAACCTCATGCTGATTCATACTTCGATCATACGCATCATTCAGTCTCACGTCTGACGTTCAAAGCACCTCCAATGCTTGTTGATCAATATGGATTGCCGAAACGACGACCTATCGATTGTATGATCAGGTAGATAGACTTATTTATATTATATTGTACCTGATAGAATTTCTAAATTTTATCTTCTATATCTATAATTATAGTTATCAATGGGATAAACAAGATCTTGTCCGACAAATTTATGAAGATATGAATATGCGTAGATTACAAGTATGGTTCGATATTTGGGGTTCAATGCAAGGTAGTACTAATGATGCAATGGCTATAGGTGTGGAATGTGCTAAAATAATTATTGTGTTCCTATCAAAAGCATACATTGAATCGACAAATTGTCAACTAGAATTTCGATATGCTATTCAACGTGGAAAAGCTTTTGTTGTTCTACGTACAGAACCTGGTATAGTAATGGAACAATATATGTTAGAAGCTATACAAGGTTTTCCTCAATATGATGTTTATTCATATAATACTTTAAAACAATCAATTAATGGAGTTCCATTAGTATTGAAATCAATTGATAAATTCTATTTTATTTAGTTCTTGTTTTTTTTTAGATTGATGTAATCGTTCAGAATATACGTTTACTTGCTCAAGCTCAACCACCTGATCCAATCGATGATTGTTCAGCTGAACTCTTTGAATTACGTTCACTTGTTGATGATGCACGTGATGCATTAAATGCTGAGACGGGTATAGCTCGTTACAAAATATGTACTCGATGCGGACAACAATATGATGATTACTCGAAAGATGGTTGTAAAAAACATGCAGAATATTTTCTAGGTGGTGGTGGTCTACTCGAAGATCAATGGGTTTGTTGTCGACAACAAACAGCAGCTTCACCTGGCTGTATACCATGTCAACATATTGATCAACCACGTGTATTCGTTGAAGATCCACGCTATGGTTCATCAACATGGAAACCAGCTTAAAATCAACAAAATAGTCATATTTATCGTTACTCATTCAAATTTATAAAAATAACTTTAAGCAATTTTTTTATTATAATAATTTAAAGATAAAATCTCTGCTAATAAATTATATCTTCTTAACAGATTAAGAACCATATAGTCTATACTACTAATAGAAACAACAACGAACCAATCAATAAGTTACTCTCAGTTACCATCTTTAAAATAATTATTGAATAAAAATATGATCGTTCTATTTTATTTCCTTTATTTCTGTATTTTAAGACTAAAAATATATGTGAATATTTGATTAAAAATGAATCCAAATTATGTTGAGTCACATTTTGCAATCATGAAGGTCTAAATAATAAATACCAGTCTATAAATAGAAAGAAAAAAGAATGGTGTAACACGTGTGTGTGTGTGCGTATGCTTACATCTTATCTTTACATTTTTTTCATTTTCCTTTCGAAAAATGGACAGTAACAATGAATATGAAATAGTCTTAATCGAAAATGAAATAGATGCTCGTTTATGTGCTGAATTACTTGCAGAAGAATTTGCATTACACAATCCTTTGTCGATTGCTAATCAGTCAACAGCACAACGCATATTTAATACATGGTTGTCGCCATTAATAAAAGATGCACTTGACGAAAAACTATCATTCTTAGTAAGATGTCGTTTGACGAATGAAATTGTTGCAGCAATTATTGGTATGGATCTATTTGGGTATTGTGAAAAACATCCGTATGATGCTTCTAGCCCTGCATCTAGTAATCCTACGGCAGATTTATATGACGAACTACGTGATCGATTTGTTCATCATGATTTGGAGCAAAAATTAAAACCAAATATGGTCTTATATATTGCAGTTGGTGCAACACAAGCTCAACATTCAAATAAAGGTATAGCTGCTAGATTACGTGCTTATCTATGTAATTATGCACGAGATACAAAAGGATTTCAGTATGCATTTGTACAAACTGGTAGTCCAGCAACACGTCATATTTACGTAAATAAAATGAATGGTAAAGAGTTGACAATTGTTGATCCAGCGACATGGATATGGAAGAGAAAGGGTGACGGTTTATCATGTCCGCTGAAACATTATAAAGGAGATCCAGCCGTAAATATTCTCGTAGAATTACAAAAACAATAGAACATGTTTATCAAACTAATGTTTTTTCTTTTAAAATAAATGATGTGCACGTATCTCTCAATATTTATTTAAAGTTTATAGTGCATTGTTTACTAGTTTATTTTGAATATTAAAAATTCTTGTAACGAATGAGATTTAAGAGTATCATAGATAATATCAAAAGTTTATAGATAAGTGAGAAACAACAAAGACAGAAATTTCACATATCTAATTAAACTGTAATATGATTCATTCTATATTTTGATTTCGATAATTATTTGAAATTTTTTAATAAAGATTATTATAAGACATCGTTTTATTTCAAAGTTCCATATTTTATTTGTGTACAAGAATACAATATAAACTGTGTTATTTTTGAAACAATAAATGCAGATATATTCTACTCTTAAAACTGCTGAAAATCGTTATGAAATGACATTTGTTTCAAATTAGCTGATGTAGATCCCTCACACCTTTTCAATGGTGTTTATGTACTTGAAACACAGCTTAGATACGATGCTCAATAGCTGCTACATTCTCCGTAAAAAAACAGAAGCAATATTTATTGTAGCATTTGTCTATATATACTTGTGATCAATATCAACTCAATTTTTAGTTTTAACTGGAACAGATTGCATACATTTCATGTAGCAGCAGCATAAAGTATGTTTGTTTATCGTTAAGAAGATACTATTCTAGTAAAAGTAATGACTGATGAATGTAATGTGAACACAGAGTCTCTCTGAATTTCGTTGTACTGATCTGAATCTTTTCAATGCAGCATTATTAGATACTGAGCGTTTTATGATTCAACAATATTGTGACAAAAACTTTACTGGTTCAGTATCATCCGACAGAACTTCTTCGTTCAGCAATACTAAAGAGAACATCTTATTGTTTTTCATATTATCACAGCGAACGTCTTTTAGTTTAGTATCACTATCATATAACAATCTTATTCGTCAGTATAACTGGACAGAATCTTTTGTTAGTTTCACGACTATCGCACACAACCTTAGGATTATTCAGCACGTGTTACACAAAAACGAAGTAGTCCACCAAAAATCCCTTACGTTAGTTTGAGACGGGCAACATCCCTATTACAAGCTTATCAGCAAGCTACGGAAACATCAACACTATGACCATTGTTATATCCAAAAACAAGCGATTTTATTTGCTCTTTGTATAAAAAGTGTTAACAAAAGAAAAATATTCGTATCATTATCATGAGCAGTACATACATCATCAGATTATATTCAAAATTGGTATTTAACATTTTCTTTATCGTCGATTGCGTTCAACAAATTCATTAATTCCACGTAGACGATCGTAACTTATTCTATTTCCACCTATACTCAGCGTGGTGATTGTCTATATGAAGAAAAGAAGCTGAATATATGCTATAGATAAAGAAGCATGGAAATTACCGTATTGTGTCCTAATGCATTACTCAAATGTTGTGCTCCATCATCTCCGATTTCATTATCTGCCAGATGTAGTGTTGTAAGTTTCTAGATGAAAAAATGAAGGTAAAGACATGATATAGATGAAGAGAGCAGGACAACTACTGTATTGTGCTGTAGTGCACCACCCAAATGTTGTGCTCCAACATTTCCAATTTTATTAATTTGAAGATATAGCTCAGTGAGTGTCTAGATGAAAAAGTGAAGATAAAGACATGGAATAGATAAAGAGAGTATAATAATTACCGTATTGTGTTGTAATGCATCACCCAAACTCTTTGCTCCAACATCTCCGATCTCATTATCTGCCAGATGCAGTGTAGTGAGTTTCTAGATGAAACGTGGAGGTCAGGAAATGGTATAAATTAAGAGAGCATGATAATTACCGTATTGAGTCCTAATGCATTACCCAAACGCTGTGCTCCAACATTTCCAATTTGATTACGTTGGAGATATAGTTCAGTGAGTGTCTAGATGAAAAAGTGAAGGTAAAGAGATGACATAGATAAAGAGAACATAATAATTACCGTATTGCGTCCTAATGCATGACCCCACTTTTGTGCTATTACACCTTCGATTTTATTAGCTTTGAGAAACAGCGTGATGACTGGCTAGATGAAAAATAAAGGTAAAAATATGATATACATAAAGAGAGTATGACAATTACTGTATTGTGTCGTAATGCATCAACCAGATGTTGTGCTCGAACATCTTCGATTCGATTACGATGGAAACCTCGCTGTGATACTGAATAATCTAATAGCCCTGCTGTAATATCTCTGATTTCATCAGCTTCGAGATACAGCGTGGTGAGTGTCTAGATGAAAAAGTGTGGGTCAAGAAATGGTATAAATAAAGAGAGCATGACAATTACCGTATTGTAGCGTAATACAGCAGCCAAATGTTCTGCTCCAATACAAACAGTTTGATCATTTCGGAGATCTAGTGTGGTGAATGTCTAGATGAAAAAGTGATTGTGAATTCATGATATAGATATGGTGGTGAATCGTTTTTTTCTTGATTGTTCATACGGAAGCGGAGGTTACTGCAGTTTCGTATAAGGGGATGTGGGTATTAGTAGGAATGGTTGTATGATCATACATGGAGCAGTGTTCAAAGATGTTACCTGAAAGCTCGATTGAGAAGAGTTTGTTGAGAGTGATGCTTGCATCTCAGATGCTTATCTGAGAGTTACCTGTAGTTGTAAAATTTTTGCGAAGAAATGAAAAACTGTATGGTTATTAAATGAGATTTTGCAAATGACATCGGTACAAAATATTTGTGAAGTGTTGTATGATGTTATTGAGTAGTGATTTAGGACAGGGAATACTGTAGATCATGATAAAGTAGAGTTTAACGTTGAGAATGTTAGATGAGTGTGTGTGAGGATGTCGATGTTGTTGAGAATCAATCTGCTCTGCATCTTCACCCGTATACTCACTAGTACCGATACTTTCGCTTATACTCAGTATCCATGCTCTCAAAAGTATCTGTCAAAGGTATTTTTTAAGAAGCTTTCTAATAGTTTATTTATAACGACATAAGCTAGTTTATGGACCATTATTTTCTTTCAAAATCTATTTTTTTGATCAAAATGGTATGAAAAAAGGGCTTAGATGCGTAATATAGAACAAAAAAAACGTTTTTTTCGTTCTTATCCAAACATCGTATGTTAATAATATCATATCCAGTTCCAAACGTGGAATATTGAGATGAGATTGAAAAGACAGAAAAAGAAAATTATTTATTCCTAATTATTAAGACGTTGTTTTCGTATCGTCATAATATAGAAAAGAAAACTTTCAAAGAGACTTACTACTGATGAATTAGTTTGAGTGACATAGAGTTTATTCATACCTATTTCATTGAAATTATTTTACTCAACTATGGATTATAGGAATGAAAAATCACTTGAGAGTTAACAGTAAAAAACTAGACAGTCGCATGATAGAAGAAACGTTACTTGATATCGATGGTAGCTGTTAACAATGCTGTTGAACCGTTGACATACATTTGTCATTGAACAAATGATCGTAAAGTCCGTCTGATGATCCAAAATTCGATAGACAAGTTCTACCGGTAATGTAAGAAAAGTAGCGATGCTTTGATTAGACATTTTAGATTATTGTTGAAATGTGTTATGTAGCCTTATACGTTAGTTGTATGATATGTTGTTAGTTTTTTCTTCTCATTGAGTGAGTTTATAGTTGTTTTGTGTCACAGACATCACATGATGTTGCAACTGCTTGTTGGAAGAAAAAAATGACGCCAGCGACAAAATAACAGAATCGCGATGGCAACTATAGTCAATATTTTCATTGTGACAATTTTAGCGACATAAAATAGTATATACTAGACACGAATATTACGTGTTCTTAGTTGTAATCAGTTAAATTTGAATGAGGTTAGATGAATAATTTGTTTGAAATATAAAATTGTTTATAAAAATATTTATTTTACAATATAGAAATTTGAAAACAAAACCGTATACCCTTTTCTGTCGGAAAAAGTAATATTAAAAGCGAAAATGTTGAAAATTTTGTTCAACTTGAAATATCAAAATAAATCTTTATTATAGAAGCAAAATTTTTTTATCGATTATTTATATACTTTTATATGTGTTTTGGTTTTGATTATATATTGAGTGGTTTCGTATAAATATCTCTTATCTTCAAGCAAAATCATGTTTTCAAGTAATAATTTCAGTCATATGCTCACGATTAATACAGTAGATGCGACATCTTTAAATCCATTTTATTTTATTAGAATTTTACTTTACATATTTGCCTATTAATTTTTCTATTATGTATAATAAGTTACTTAGGAATAAACTGAGAAAATTTAAAGCTTTTTCATGTTTCACTTATTGCTTAATTTGTAACATGAATTATTTTTCTAATATCTTCTATTATGATTCGATTGAAAATACATCATCATATTGATGAATTACGGACTGCTTTTTCAATTAACTACATATGAGTTATTTTTGTTATGGTAAGTATTTAAACAGAAAAGAAGAGTAGGAAATGAACCTTAGATTTTCTGATCTTGATGATTTATTTTGATAGTTGATGAACTCTGATAGGATTCACTTTCTTTTCTCTCATGTGATACTACGTCTAACATATACATTATTGTATCTTGCTCTTATATAAAGTCAAGTAGATATTTCAGAAGTAGCTTGCAATAATCGTTAATTTTATATATCCCACCGTTTATATCTCAACTACTATATATTTATAGTAGTATTTCACTCTTTTGCAGTAGATTCATTTGAAAAGGCAGTTATTATTAAATAAATTTGAATGTTAATACAAATAAACGAAAAAAAGATTTAGTATTCATAGACTGAAAGAAATAGGGTTTTTTATTTATTCATTCAATGGTTGGAATGATAATCTAAATTATGTATGTACATCTCTGAATATTTTGCATAGTCTTGGTATAAGATTTATCTAAAATTAATTCATATTAATTAATTACATACAGATCCTTGCTCTGTACCTTTTAAATACTGTAAAATTTCACAAAAGGAAGTAAAAAGACTTTATTTCATTTATGCACGACACATCATTTTTTTAAAACTATGCTATAGATGAGCAATAGTTTCATTTAATCGTCTAAATATGCAAGTGATTAGTTAAATATTGATTATTATAAAACACACCGTCTTTGTTATTCATTCAATAGTTTCATATGACATTCAAATATTTTATATCCCACTTGTTGATATCAATAATACTGAGATCGTTTTACAAAGGACACTCGACGAGACATATCGCTAAAACTTTTTCTATTTTTTCAGTTAAGTTAAAATCCAGTTGAAAACTATCATACTATTTGATAGGTATATATTTAATACTATCTTTATTTGTTGTCACATGGATATCAGAGATCACCAACAAAGAGCTCATTTGTGTGACTGTTACTGGTATACTATGATGTTACATCTGATAGATTCTCTTTATAAAAGTTAACTATGTGCAATTTTCACTAGTAAATAATGATGCAAGTAGAGAAGTAAAATTTAAATAAATGTAAAGTGAAAATTATCAATGTTAATCAACAAGTCATGAATTAATATTTCGATGATATCAGTTAATGTTTTCAAACTGGAATTTATTCTATCATATTTAACAATATTATTAAGTTACAGGAAAAAATCGATTCTCTTCTGTAAAGAAATTCAATAGAAAATCTATAGTATAAATAAATATCATTTTAATTAACTTTACTTTGTAGACAATCAATAGTATTAAATTACAAGTTTATATAGCTAAAGAGATTTATTTTAAATTTCTGTTTTTTTTTACACATTTAATGTATTAATATTCTTTTTTTTTCTTATGATCATGCAATATACGCGTGAATAAATGAAAATTTTATATAATAATACAAATATACAAAAAAAAGATTGAGAAGTTTTGTAAATTAAATTTTTTTTCTATTAAATTGTTCAATTAATGAGTGATAATTTCTTTGTCTTTATTGTTGTAATTCACTATCTTTGTCATATAATGGTTTCTTTGGACTATTAGCACCATGTTCATCATGCATATGACTTATATATGTTCCTAATCCTTCAAATAATGGTTGATAATCATCATAGAAGAAAGCATTTATTTGAGCACCTAATATAAGTATTGTTGCAAAATAATAGAAGAATAAAAGAAGTATAACAGCAAAACCAATTTGTCCTTTAAAAATGTCAAATAAGAATATATATATTGATCTTATGAAAAATAAATCAAACTTACCTGCATAATTACCCATAAATTTTCGTACATATAATGGAAATAGAATAATGAATAATTCAAGTGTACAAGCAGAAACCAATGCACCACACCAAGTAGTTTTAAATGACATTTTTTTATTTGGAATAAACCAGTAAATAGCTTCAAATAAAATAAATGCCACGAGTAATGAAACTAGTATTCCTGCTAAATATGTTCCAAAACGACCACCACCACCTGGTATTATACTTAATAAAATAGCTGGAGCTGAACTAGCTGCAATCATTAATGGAATCATAAGAATGAAAAAGAAAAGCATTCCAATTGCTAATACATTTTCACGAATAAATGGTCGTTCAGGTACTCGATATACAATATTCATACATTTATCAATTGCAATAAATAATCGAGATGAACCAAATATAGCAAGTACAATACCAATAGCTACAAGTCCACCAGCATCTTTTGATAATTGATCAAAAGCTAAATCAACTACCTAATAATATATATATATATATATATTTCAGTTTGATTAAAAAATTAAATATTTACTTGTTTAATACCCGTCTGTGTTGAATTATCATCAGGAAATGAATTAATTATTTTGTTTTTAACATCGTTTTGTACATCAGGATGATTTTTTAAAACTAAACCTAATATACCAAATATTGCAACAGCAATTGGAAGAAGAGCAATTAATAAATTATATGCAAGCATTGCTGCAAAATTTAATGACCAATCATTAAGAAATTTTCGTAGAAAACGACGATATGGTTTGGTTTTCCGTTGACTTTGTTGAAATGCAGTTGTTGATTTTAGATTATCCATCATGATTTCTTTTGTGTAGTTTTAAACAACAAAATAAGAGACAATGAAGGTAATTTAGTGCACTAACAATATCGAACTTGTTGCAACTGACGTATGAGAAGAATATTGACGATAAGATAGAACGAAAGAGAGAACAAGAGAAAAAAATACGAATGAATGAAAAGAAAAACAAACGATATATATAGCGGGCATTTAATAGAACAACGTAGATGGAGAGAAAAGAATAGTCATAGATATAGATATAAATATAAATATTTGTCCGATTAGCGGTTGAAAGATAATGGAAACAGACAGTTGTTATTTTTATTAAGTATAATCATAATTGTATTTAATGAATGAACGATCGTTTTAAACGAATTAAAAATAGAAAAAAGTGATGTGCTTTATTTCGATGGATTAAAAATATTTGACAAAGAAATTAATTATGCATAATTTTGTTGTTTGCTTTTTTCTGATATCTATTTTTTATTTGTTTAAAAGATAAAATGACTGATTTATCACTGGAAAAAAATGCATATAAAAGAAGTTTATATAAGACATGATAAATATTAGACATACTAATGTTTTAAAATTAAAATTAGTCCATTATAAATTTCTATATACTTATTTGATAGTATCTATTATAATAAAATATGCATTCGTTATATCTTTCGAAATATAATTAGTATTTTTAATTGTAATTATTTTGTACTATCTCTCATAATATAATTTATTTTCATATCGTTCAATCTTTACTTTCTCGTATCATCATATTTGTTAGATTACGTTCATATTTATGTATTGAAGCGTGATCATTTGTTCGATACTTTTACGAATAATTCTTTTGTATATTATTCAGTATTAATACAGAACGATCATTGCATCTACTGAAAACGCTATAAAGCAAAGTATTGTTGTATTAAGTTTCACTGTATTTCATTTTAATCTTTCATTCCAAAAAAAAATAATTGTGATGTTGACTGACAATTGTTATTGTTTTTTACATAGTTAACGGCTATGTCAATATATGAGACAGATTCATATCATCTTACTTATCAATCGTCATTTTAATGTAACAAGAATAAATCCTTGTTTGTGACTTATGAAAGAATAAAGAGCATACTTTTTTTTGCTCTCTCAAATGTGATTGTATTGTTAGTTCTTTTCGATGAGTAGCCTCAAACAGATAAGTAAAGGGAAGAAATGAGTCATATTCAAACGTATTTATTATTATGAAATATTATTTGATAAAATCTCATTTTGAAACAAAATATTCTAATAGACGATTTAGTAGCTTGTTGCTTTGTGTACTAGATGTAAAGTAGTAACAATGCATTGTTTTCAACTAGATTCTGTCAGAGTTCGTCTGAGAATATGTAATAATCGCATATAAACTTCTATAAGATTGGTAAACAAGTTTTTATTTTTTCTGTTATATTGTAATTATATTATTGGATCTATTTCTATCAATTGTTAGTTTTTTCTAAATTGTTTTTGCCTAAAGAACTGATAATAAATAAGAATTATTATTTCATTGCGTATCAACATCTAGTATATATAGCTCAGACAGATTTACTCATCGACCTAAACCTCCAGTCGTAATGTACTACTAAAACAGAAATAAAATTTATAGTCATTTATTAGTTATCATTATTCATAGTCCCATCTTGTTTCCAAGGTACTTTGTATTGAAGTGCTTTTTGTCGTAGAAGTAAATTTTGACTTTGTCTCATTTGTCGAAGAAGAATTTGACATTGTTGTTTATTAATACTTGCTTTATTGAATATTTGATTTTTGAGTAAATCAAAAACAAATAATGGAATATTCATTGTATTAATACACCATTGAGCGAAATCAAATTTTTCTTCAATATTTAATTGTTGTACATATGGACAAGATCCATCATTTGCATTAAGATATGATTCTAGATTAATTATTACATGTTCAAAATATACAGGAGATAAAGATGATTGAAATACAGTGAGCATTTCTTCGAGATCATCTCTACTTCGAGCTAATTTCATTAATAATTTTCCGACTAATGGTGCCATTGTTATTTCAAATTGAAGAATAGACAAAGCAAATGTACGAAAACATTGACGTTGTTCATCATCAATCTTACCGATTGAAGAAATAAAAAGATCTAATAATTCATTCATACGATGATAAGTATGTACATCATTTTGATTTAAATCAATATCTTTATCATAATAGATAATTGATTCAATAAATTTAGCAACATCGTTACATGATATTCTATAAAAATAGAAAATGAGTTTTATTCCGAAATGATTCCACTTACTTTTTTAATTTGTAAAATAATAGAATTTTTTTAAAAGCTAATTTCCATAAATCATTTGCATCGTTATCAAATTGAAGACATAATTGTCGAGCTTTATCTATGACTATATTAATACTGCAATATTCACTTTCAAGTTCAGACCAAGCCCATATACGTGCATTTGTTGATGTTGGATGATCTAAAATTTTCATTTGAATTCGACGAACAAATATTTCTAAAACTTCAGAAGATAATCCTTCTAATCCACTCAATGTTCGACAACTTCCTTTTCCATCAAAACCAAAGAGAGCGTACACAACTGGACGATAATCATCATGTGCTGCTTGTTCAAGAATTGACCAAATTTCTAATTCATTACGATCGTCATTTACATTTGATTTATGAATAAAATGAAGGAAAATTCTGACAAGACAAGCACGAATATCTGGATGAGGATGAGAATCCCATAGAGGTTTTAAAATTGATGTAATTAAACTTGTATTAAAACGATATTGAATCAATAAACGAAGTATTGCTTTATTTGCTGTAATACCTAATGAGAATAAAAGAAAGATTATTATTAGATTCCATTAATATATATTTACCGAATTTTCCAAAATGTTCACTGCGAATAAATTCTATATAATGTTTTAAAAAACTTTCATCAGTCATTTTTCGCGAAATACTTAAGAAAGCATCTTTAATATATGTAGCATTTGATGAATTTAATTGTGTTTTAAGTCGATCAAATTGTTTCCATAGATCTTGTGGAAATAAATCAAAAGTAGCTGGTAGAGATAGAATATAATAATTGATTGTTTGAATATTAGCACCACGAATAGATTTAATAGTTGTAGACGTAGTATCGATTGTTCTCAATAAGAAATCATCTTGATTTTTCTCAATTAATTCGAGTGTATTTTGATACATATGACTAAAACGACGAAGGACACGTACTGCTTTCAATTTTTCTGGATTGGGTATTTCTGTATCCTAGTAAAAAAAAGAGAACATTATTATAGAATTCTTTAACAATGAATTAATTACTTGTAAATAATCATTTAAAATAATTTTTATAATATATTCTTGTTGTTGTCCTGTCAATTGATTATAATAATTATTTAATATTTTCAAATGAAATCCAGGTATTTTTTTATTGGTTATCTTTAAACATGTTTTAACTTGTTGTTTAGAAAGTTTAGTCGCATCAATACATTTTTCATCTTCTAAAAGTTTATTAATTAATTGATGATATTGATGAGATTGTAAAATAATTTCTTGTACTTCAATATCAAGAAAAAATATATAATCAATTTCATTTAATAAACGATCAACACGTTCCAATCGAGTCGATCGTGATGAAAGTAATAATGAAATTAAAACAGAATGTTCATCAATATCAAATATAGATTGAAGTTCTACTGAATTAATTAAATGTTCAAAAAAGAATGAATAAATAAATTTATCAATTTCTGGTAAACACCACATGTTATCAAAACATCTTATTAATAAATTAATTATTTCAGTTATGAAACATTTGGAAATTAATTTTGGAAAAATATCAGATATTAAAATATTTGCAAATACATTGCATGCTATTGATGATGATTCAGGTAATGTTTGATAATTATTAGGAAAATTCGTATTTACTATATAATATCTAAATAAATATAAAGTCAAATTTGAATAGAATCTAAAATATTATTCTTACTCTTTAAAAATTTTAGAAGCAAATTCTTGTATTTTTTCTTGTTGTTGTCTATCTTGATAATGTTCAAGATGAACTAATAGAAAAAATCCATAAGTAAGTATAATTTCTAATGTATCTGATGTTCTTTGTAAATGATTGAAAGCGATATTCATAATCGTTTCGATGGCTTGGAAATTATCTGGAAGATATTCTAAATAACAACGATTATTTTCAGAAGATAAATGTTGTAGAAAATATTCAATGGCAGTTAATTGTTCATTAATAAATCGTTTTTGAATCCATTGTAGAACATGATTAACATTCTCTTGATCTGTCGAGATAGCACATTGAAATATAAGTGTATACAAATGTTTTCGTTTGCTTAGATTCGAACCATTTTGTTGCAAAATAGATAAAAATTTATTAAAAATTTCTAAATTCATCAATCCATAACTAAGAAAAGATGCATAGGAGTCAAGACTATATGAGTTTGATTGATCAATTAATTGTTGAAGCGTATGTTGAGCAAGTGGTATACGTAATTCAGGAAAATCCTTAAATAATCTCAGATGTATTTCTGAACCATGTTTTAATAATTCATTCACAAATTCTTGTTTACCAATACGTTCTTGAATGATCATATCAAAAAACCATTTACGACGTTTACGTAAAAAAGATATTTCATGAATATTCACATCATTCGATAACATATAAACAACAACATCAAGACTATTATTGATCGACCAATTACATGTATCATATAGTACAAAAAATAAACGAATATAATTTTCGATTGAAAATGAACGAGGAAATGAAAAACTACCAAGTATTGTACCTGAATAATCCCAAGATGCTTCGTATTTAATTATACCTGGTTGATAAGAAGCAACTAATGTTATTAATTCGATCATTTCATTTGGAGCTTTATTGAATAAATGTTCTTGTTGAGAGAAAATAAATGTTGGTAAAATTCTTTGATGATTTTCTAATCGAGAAATACATTCAATTGCTAAACGACATATTGCTTTAGGTTCTTTTTTTACTAATAATTCAAATAATTTCTTATTTTTTCGCCAATATATTATCATTTTATTATTATCGAAATGTTTATGAATTAAATCATTATTGATAAGTTGAATAACAATAAGAGGTTGATAACGAATTAATTTCGAAGAAAATGAAGAAGAAAAAGATATTTGATTATAACTTGTTATTGACCATTGAGAAAGAAGTTTTATTATTTGATCTTTTGAACAGAATGGTAATGTATGAGCATCAATATTAAATTCATCATGATGAAATATTTGAGTTAAAGATTGTGCAAGGTCATAGAAAAATGTTAAAGATATTTTTAAACAATGAATATGATGAAGACATTTAAGAATTTGATGTTTTATACTAAAAAGATTAATATTATTCGTTTTTACTTTAAATTTTATAAGAATGAACATACAGTCGTGGAATATTTAAATCAATAATTGTTTCGACTACAAATTTATGAATTTGTTTCTGGTCAGTTTGAAGACGAAGCCATGCTTTACCAGCATCAGCTCGTTGACGAACAGGTAAGGAATCTGTTTTGAAAATTTTAATAAGATTCATTTGATTTTTTGTTGATTTATAGAGAAGGATTAACATTTGTAAATCATCATATGATTTAACTGATAATGTTTTTAGATATATTTCCATTTCTGTCTTATCCGATAAAGATAAAATATATTTAACACGATCAATCAACAATCCTTCACGCTTTAACAATTCGTATTTTTCAATCGATGACATTTTTTTTAATTAACTAATAATAATTATTATCTGTAATAAAAACAATATATATACAGATGAATTTTTAGTATTAGTAATGTCCGTTTAATTAATATATCGTATATAATTCAGATATATTAATAGAGTAAAGTATACATGAAAAATGAAGTTAGAGCGATAGATACAACTTCTACTTATATTCTTATCATTCAAGGTTAATCAACATAAAAATATTGACATAAATGAATTACACATTGAAAATAATTGTATTAGTCAAAACTTCTCGCCAATAATCAGTTTAATTTTATTATGAATAAATATGAGTTTTGATCTATTTTCTATGTTCGAACATGGTTAAAGTGTCATTTTTAACAGACAAGAAATCACTATTTAGTCTATTTACTATCCAATCATAACAAATCGGTAAAAAAATGCGTTCTTTACGCGTTAAAAACGAGTTTTTCTTGAAAAAGATGGCGTTTTTTTTACAGATTTTGTCTAACTATGGGTAATTTTCAAAAAATAAATGATAAAATTAAATAAAAATGAATATAAATCACGTTTATCGCACTAACGATTATGAACTATAACAATGGTAGATTTTCTTTCTCCATTTTTTTTCAATATTATTTTAAATTTTCTGTTTTTTCAATGAGTTTTAAATGTTATTGTGAGTTATGAACAATCAGAGCAAATATTAACTACTTGTACGTATTTATATGTCTCATACGCCATCTAATACTATACACTCTGTATATATTTATATGCTAAATGATCTATTATCATTGACGGTTCATTTCTCAAGAAGACCGATAATCACTTTATTTGAATTATTCGTATATTAATTTGCTCATATTAGTATTTTTCTAAGGATTTCAAGAGTGTACTATAGTTATTACAAAAAAAAACATACTATTCTAATATACGAATGAAAACTATATTTGGATGAATTAGTGGTTGAATATTTTATCATTGAGCACATCTATATTACGCATTTTAAACAATGCACAAAAAGTCAGCTTTACGGTCATGAACAATGTCTCGGGCTTTTTTTTAAAACATAATTATAGGGGAGATTTGTCACCATTGTGACATAAAAGAGATTGAACGAAAGAAGTCTATCAAATTTAATATCCTATTTAATATCTCAATCAACATATGTAGTTCTGCTACAGATTCTTTATTTCAAAGTTCGTGAGGGCACTGGTCTCTCTAATGTATAATGTCAATTTTTTTATATTAAATAATATAATCACCTAATGTTATTAACTACTAGTATAATGGAGAAATTTTTATAGAAAAGTATGCAATCCTTTTTTTAAAATTCAATCTCCCTAAGATATTTTTATTCCTGTAATACAAAAGATTTATTTCTATCTTATATAATTACATACATTGAATAAATTGTTTGTAATAATAATCTTAATAGTTACATATCGATTGAATTTAAATATATGTTCGATTTCATAAAACCAAATACTTTGTAAAACACATTTCTACATATAATTTATTTGATCAGATGAAAATGAACATTAGTAGGAAACGAATAAAATTGTCAAATTGTCAAATTAACATAATCAAGAATAATCTATAAAACATTTATTATTTGTCTTCTTCTTTAACTAATCGATATTTTATTTGAAGTAAAATCAGTAAGAATAAAATGCATACTAATGTTCTGATTATTATAGTGTGTTTATATGTCATATTTCTACTAAGCAATTAGATAGAAATCATTCATGCACAGCAATATGTGACCATATTGACTCACAGAATACATGATTGTAAAAACAAAAATATATTTAGTATTTTTTCTTTAAGTCAAGGTTTTATTTGATATCATGATTAAAAATAATCGAATCAATGACGATTTTAAGAACAACCTCCTCCGTAAATTATACGTATTACTAATCGTTTGTATTGTTCTTATTATAAATCATATTGATATATATATGGTTTGTTTTGTATGATGTAAAAAAATTAAGTACGCATAAAATGTGACAAGTTAACAAAAACGAATAAAAATAAGACGACAAAAATCATTGAAGTAGAGAAGAACGAAAAAAGCATTTTATATTTGCTATTCGCTTCATAACCTATAATCGATAAGATACTAGTCATATATTTGCCTTTTTAAATATATACATACACCTTTTCATTATATATTGTTTTATAAGCTTCATCCCACGTGTTATATTGTTTATTTAAACATACGAATAATATATATATATATCAAATACATTATAGTTTACATGGTTACATATAGAATAATATGGCATTAACTGTATTTTTATTTAAAGTTTCTAATCTTAATATTTCAAAAATTTTCCCAGAAACTAATGTTCCAAATGATAATGAATCAACAACAAGTACACGATCAGTACGATTTATGGTCGATGAAAATCCAACATTAGTTAGTGCTAGAATAACATTTCAAGGTATTAATTTAGAATTTATTCATATAAAATAAGAATAAGATAATAAATGAGTACGAAAAAAAACAAATTTATTCTCTTACTAAACTAAGTTTTTCCTAACGGACAAAATAATCATTAGTACAAGTTCATAATTCTCTCTATTTAAGGTATTGGTCTTTGGTCAAACAATGTTCCAGTAGTTGCAAATGAAGCAAGTTTTCTGGCTCGAGGAAAAAAACCAAAAAAATTCAATTTCAATTTGGCACGATCATTAACAGCAGATGATAAATTACTTGTTGAGTTTTTTACAACAACAATTAAAAAACGACGCAAAAAATTACTTGGAGTTTTTGAAATTATGCTTGAACAATTAGTTATTTCAAAATATATTGATCTTCCAGAAGAAAATTTATCTGATGCACAGAATTATTTATTACCATCAACTGTACAACTTAAACTTTATTATACACCACCAGATATTGAGAAATACAATGCTTCATTAGGTATATCAGATACAGGTCAATTAGTCGATTGGAAAAGTATATTTGACGATGAAGGACGACACGGTGGACATCGATATAGACATACTCAATCAAAAAATGATAGTAAATTGTACGTAGTATAATAAAGATTAATAATATATATATATATATTTTATTTATTTTTTTTTCTAGTAAAAAACTTCGTACAAGAATTAAGGGCCGTACAGATGATGCTGATACAGATTCATACAGTGATTCAGATTTTAATGAAGCAGACAAACTTAAAAGTGGTGTACCGATTGATGAAGAAAAACAAAATAGAATAGAACGTGGTAATATAGAATTATTAGAAAAGAGGTATAGATATTTTTGCTTTTATTATAAGATTTGTTTTTTAATTTTATTTAATATTTCGTTAGTTTGGGTCGATATGAAGGTGATCCATATGAAATAAATGAATGGCAAATTATGATACATATTATTCAAGCACGAGAATTGCCAGGACTTGATCTTAATCCATATATATGTATTGAAATTGATGAGGAAAAAAAATATTCAAATAGACATCAATCTTCTAATTCACCATATTTTGGAGAAGTAAAATACTATAGAAATTTTCTATTAATATCTAACTTGTTTTATAGTTTTTCACATTTGACTTTAATCTTCCAGCTTCACAAGTTATGCAAAAAGTTATTTATTTCAAAGTAATATATATTTATTTAATAATAAATCATTTAATTATTTTTATTAAGGTTCATCATGCACAAAAATTCATTAGTAAATTTACTGATACGAAACCAGTTGCCATATTTCGAATAGATGTTTCAACAGTATATAATGAAAAAGAACATGCATTTGAACGAAAATGGGCACAATTAATTAATCCGGAAAGTATTGAATCTCATTGTGGTTATTTACTTGTTTCAATTGCGGTTACAGAACGTGGTGCTCCATCACGAGTAAAATTCTATTATTATTACTTATGATAAATTTATATATATTTTTTTAAAAGAATGTACTTGGTGAAGGAGTCGAAGATGATGATGAATATAAACCATCGTAATTAAAAATTCAATTATTTTATTTTTAATAATATTTTCATTTTGTTTTTAAGAAAAGCATTAATTCCTGCAGCTATGCCACATCCACTTTTTCCTGTTGAAATAAAAATAACATTTTTTACTGCAGCAGAATTACCTGAAATGATGACTGATTTTTTAGCATCAGTTTCAAAAAAAGTTCTTCAACCAGAAGGATGGGAACCAGTTGATCCTTATGTTGAAATTCAATATAATACATTGCGTGCAGTGACAAGTCATCATAATGGTACAACACCTGTTTGGAGTGAAGCATTTCATTTAATTGGACGTTTTCCACCACTTATACGAACAGTTAAAATATCACTTAAAGATCATGCTTCGGTTCGACGTGATCGTGTTATTTCATCATTTGCTATTGATCTCTTTTCAATAAGTGAAACAAATTTACAAGCTGGATTTTTACCAACATTAGGTCCAACATGGATGTTTTTATATGGAAGTGCAAGAGAATATGCAGCAAGTAAAGAACAAGCAAGTCTTAGTGAAGGAATGGGTGAAGCTATTTGTTATAAAGGACGTTTATTAATGGAAATTGAATGTCATCCTGTTAGTGGAGAAAATGCATCGAATTCGAAAATACAAAAAGAAACTGGTGTTGTATTACCTGAAGCAGTAAATTGAATTTTGAAATTTTTATTTCATATCATTTCAAAATATTTTTTCTATTTCATAGCATTTATTTCCAATGAAACGTACATTTCTTTTATGGGGTTGTATATATGATGTAACAATGATTGATAAAGCATTTGGTAATGCAACAATATGTTTTGAATTAAGTATTGGTTCAAGTGGATATTTAACACCAGCACAATTTGTTGAAGCAATGCATGTTCCAACATCATCATTATCACAAACATATCCACGTGTACCAGTTGATAATAATAAACAACATTTTCGTTTACCAATTGATTTATTAAAACCAATTATATATACAAAATATACATTTCATGATTATATGTTTCGTATGACATTAACAAATCGTTTTAAACATGCGTCTGATCATATAGTATTGATTTTATTTCAATAATAATTCATATTTTTGAAAAATATATCTTTTTTTAGTATAAACAAATTCGTCAATTTGAAGCGAAAATAAATGCGAAAGTTACAAATGAAGTTCTAACGGCTGAATATCAGAAAATAAAAGATTATGTTCATGCATTACCATGTGGATGTGGTGATGAATCATTAAATAGTGAAAATTTTGGTATTTCACCTGTTGTTCATCCAGATTTATCGGAAGTATTAAATGCAAGTACAGCAAATTATAAAATGAATACATTAGATGAAAAACGACGTAAAAAACTTCTTATAAATCTTGAATCAGTTAAAGCGTGGGTTTCAAAAAAAATGGATTTTGATGAATCAAAACGATACGATATTGTTAAAGAATTAAATAAAATAGCTCGTTCATTTCGACAAATGGCTTTTGATGTAAATATAAGAATTTAAAGAATTTTTATTTTATTTTTATTTCTATGAAAAAAAAGGCACAACCAGCTTTACCGGATGTATTTTTATGGATGATATGTGATTCGAAACGTGTAGCTTATGCACGTATTCCACCGGAAGATCTTCTTTTTAATTTATGTGCAGGTGATAAAGGTTTATATAATGGTCGTGTACACACATTTTTTCTCAAAGTATGATATTATTTCTATCCTTTGTTTTTAATCAGAAACAAAAATAACGAATATATCATTTTTGTTTTCAGACACCAAAATCATCAGATCAACCATTAAATCCATCAACAAATGCTAAAGTACAAATGTATCTTTGGCTTGGAATTGAAGAATATGAACCATATATATATAAATATCTACCACCTGGTTTTGAGATGCCACAATTACCATTACTAACTTCAACAAAAACTATACGATATACTAGTATAGAAATAAATAGTTTATTGATTAAATATTAAATTAATTTATTTTTTATAGAACGATGTTTTTATGAAGTACGATGTCATTGTCTTAAAGCAAGAGCTTTACTTGCTTCAGATGATACTGGTTTATCTGATCCTTTTCTAAGTATTACTGTTGGAAGTTCGACACAAACGACACCAGTAAATAATCTTATATATATATATTCATTTAATTGATGTTTTCTTTTTCATCTAGGTTCTTTTACAATCTTTATGTCCACAATGGAATATGACATTAGCATTTAAAAATTTAATACATATTGGCACACAAGAATCAGCTGAAGAAATTATTGGAAATGTTGTTGTTGAAATTTACGATTATGATGAAGTAAATATCTTATTTGTTTTTTTTCGCTAGATATAAACGAAAAAAACTATTTGTACACATATTATAAATATAAAATACGATTTTTGTATAATTTTAGGATATTGATGGACCTGATTTAATTGGACGTTTTTCTACAACAGCTAAACTTAATTCAAATAATAAAAATGATTCAAATAAGGGATATCCATTTGAATGGTTTGAACTTAAAATTGGTGATAAACGAGCTGGTGAACTTTTAGCTGCATTTGAACTTGTTGAAATTGATCCAGTAAAATTCATTTTTAAATTAGAATTTTTTAAAACAATTCAAAAATCTTTCTTATAATCTTAGGACACACGAGTAGCTGTATCAGCCTGTGAGCTTGAACAGATTCCAGTAACTTTTGAGAGATTTCCACCTAAAAATTATGTTACTAAAGCAATAAAAAGACATCATCTTTATGAAATTCCAAGTTCATTAATGCCTCCTATGAAAACTTATGATATTGAAGTAAATATAATAGATCTAGAAACAAAACAAAATCAAATTAATTTTTATATAGATTATGTTTTGGGGTTTACGTGAATGTCGTTCAATTGGTTTTCAAGCAATAAATCAAGCTGAAGTAACAATTGAATGTGCTAGTGAACGTATAACAAGAACAATAAAAGATGTACAAAAATATCCAAATTTTTCAGTATCAACAGGTCAACCCGATTTTTATACACTTCGTGTTGTATGTTAATAGAAAAAAAGATTTTTTTCTTCATAAAATATTTTTCTTTTTATTTTATAGGATCTACCAGATGATAATAATTTTTGGCCACATTTAAGTATTCTTTGTATACAAAATCGACTTTTTGGACAGAAAGAAGTCGTTGGGAATCTAGTTGTAACTGATCTACAAAAATTTATTGAAAAACCACATGCTCATTTATCACCAGGAAATGAAGCTCTAGCAGATGCTATTAATGAAATAACAAAAATGATGCCATACGATTTTAATCGTGTACGAAAATCGATTGTTGATGCATATGAAGGTATATTGAAATTCTTAATCTTTATTGATCTATCATATTTTGTTTTTTATTTTTATTTTAGCTGCCCTAGCATCAAAAAATAAAGATATAGGAAAAGAAAAATTAAGTAAATTAGAAAATGCAGGGGGTCATGCTACCCCCGGTTCTGAAAGTCAAATAGCAATTATTGATGCTGATGCATTACAAGAAGAAAATGATGATGATACATCATCAAAAGATGCAAAAGATAAAGAAGGAAAAGACGATAAAGATGCCAATGCAGCTAATGAACCAATAATTCCTGATAATTCTGAACATAAACCTATATCAACATTAGAAAAAATAAAAAGAAATGATATGGAAAAAGTTGCTGGATGGTGGAATAAATATTATGCATCGAAAGCTAAATTAGTCTGTTATATTTTTTATAAAATTTTCTTTTTCATATTATATATTTAATAGAGATTGGCACAACGTGCTAATGCAAATTTATATGAAGATTCAATGGATACAACTATTGCTTATGCAGATTTTTATGATAATAAAAGTAGTTTGGATTTTTATTTTTAAATTATTTTTTTCTTTCAAACAAACTTTTGTTTTATTATAGAAAAACCAAATAAAAAATCGTTCGATGTATTGAATGCATTGAGAAAAATATTTTCACGTGCTGGAAAAGCTCAAAAAACCTTTCGACGTTTTGCTGCTGCACAATTGGATCAATCTGAAGATGCGAATAAAGTAAAATTAAACCAAAAATTTATTTTATAAAATCGAAATTCTTTTTATCATTAAATATTTTTAGCCAAAATCAGCTGTTGATGAAAGTTTAGATAATATTGAAACTGATCGTCTTAAAGAATTAACATTATTACAAACATTTGATGTAAGACAATAATTAAATATAATTAAACATATGACATTTTCTTTTTTCTTTCATTAGATTGTTGAGACAGAATTAGAAAATGTTTATGCTTATGAAGGTTTTAATGATTGTCTTGATACATTTTCATTGTAAGATTTTATTTTTAGAGATTTATTCTGATATAAAATATTCATTTATATGTTTAGATTTAAAGGTAAAGGATCAAATCGGTCTGATGAAACAGGAGATGATAAACGTATCTATGCAAAATTTAAGGTTAGTTTAGAACGTTTCATCTACCCTTAACGTATATTCTCATTCTGTTTAGGGTAAATTGCGTATTCGAGAGGTAACAAGTATGACTGATCAAACAGCTATGTCAACATTTAATATTGATCGTATTCCGCGACTATCTGCACTTCCAGGTCCATTAACTACTGATGCCAGTACGTTTCAACACTCGAAAGATGCTTTATTGACACAAACAAATCAGCAAATGTCTCAATTTAATTTAAATGAACATCGTATTACACTTAAATGTCGATTGTATCTCATCAAAGCTCTATTATATCGTGGATGGGATGCATCAGGCAAAGCGGATCCATTTATAAAAATTGCCTTAGGTGACAATACAATCATTGATGATACTAAAGGAAAACTTCATAATACATTAGAACCTGTTTTTGGAAGGTAAATAATCCAATATATATATATATAAATATAGAATGACTACCTATATTTCACTAGATCATATGAATTTGATGTTACAATACCAAGTGATTCTTTATTACGTATACAAATATGGGATTGGGATATGACAAGTTCTAATGATATTATAGCTGAAACAAAAATTGATATTGAAAATCGTTTTTTTTCATGTCATAGAGCAACATGTGGTTTACCACAACGATATGATAGGTAAATTAAAATAAATAAATACGTAAATTTATTTAAATTTTAGTGCGGGTTATAATGCATGGCGTGATACAAAAAAACCTACAGTTATTCTATCTGAGTTATGTCAAAGTACAACTGATTTGACACCAGACTATTCCGAAGATTTTCAATCAGTTACAGTTGGTGATCAAACATTTAGTTGTGATCCAGCATGTGTTGAATTTATAATGAATGTTAAATCAGCTCAAGCAACATTACATAGAAGAGTTCATCATGAATCACCTGCAGAATATATTCAACAAAATACAGCATTAGTTGCACTTCAAGCATGGGGAAAAAAAATAAATCCAGTAGGGAAAAACATTCTTTTTTTTTATTTAATTGTATAAAAATTTTGTAAATAGAAATGTGCATTAGTTGCTGAACATATTGAATGTCGATCATTATTTAACGATGAATTTCCTGAAACTGAACAAGGAAAATTAGAAATGTGGTTAGATTTTTTTCCAATGTCACGACCACCAACAAGTGCTCCAATTGATATAACACCGCCCGTACCTACACCCTACCAATTACGTTTAACTATTTGGAATACTAATGATGTTGAATTAAATGATGAAAATTTTGTTACTGGAGAAAAAACATCTGATATTTATGTTAAAGCATGGATATTAGGAGAAAATGTTGATTCACAACAAACTGATGTTCATTATCGGTTAGTTTTTCATGAAAATAAAATCTAATAACTTTTTCTTTTTCTAATTCATAGATCATTGACAGGCGAAGGAAATTTTAATTGGCGATTTGTATTTGATTTTACTTATTTAGAAATAGAGGAAAAAATTGTTTATGAAGCAAAAGATTCTCTATTTCAAGTTGGCAATACGACAAAAAAAATACCACCTAGAATTGTTATTCGTGTTTATGATGCAGATTTATTATCAGCAGATGATTTTCTAGGTGAATGTGTTCTTACTTTAACACATATACCACTCGGTGCAAGAACAGCAAAAAAATGTAAAGCAAATATTGTACTCGATTCTAAACAACCATCAACTAATTTATTTGTTACTAAACGTCTTGTTGGTATGAAGATAGTTTTTTTCATTTGATTGATTTATTTTAAATCTATATAGGTCATTGGCCAATGATTGCACCACAAACAGAAGGTGTTATTCGTGATAAAAATTTATTAGGTGTAAGTGAATAACTATAGAAATAGAGATGAATATTTTGTTTTTTTGTTTTATTTTGAAAAGGGAAAAGTTGAAGCAGAATTTTCACTTCTTACTGCTGAAGAAGCAGAAAAAAATCCTGTTGGAAAAGCACGTGAAGCACCACAACCACTTGATGAACCTAAGTTAGATTTAATAATTTATTTAGTTTAATTTAACAAAAACAAAAATGTTTGATGTTTTTTATTCTAGTCGACCAAAAACATCATTTCTTTGGTTTACATCTCCATGGAAAGTATTTCGTTATATTATATGGCGTAATTCGAAATGGCCAATTATTATTGCACTCATCGCAATTATTTGTATTGTCTTTCTCTTACTTGCCATTTGGACATTACCTGGTGCAGTTGCTACAGCAATAGCACAGAAAGTTTTCAAAAGCGGTGGTTAAACAAGACATCATTCTTTCGGAATTGTATTACATTTATATCGATACTATTTAAATGGAATAAAACTTTGATGATTATTTTTATTCAATAGAAGATACGATGAAATTAATAATAGGATCTTAAATACTATTGATATAAACTATGTAATACATTTTATTATATATATATATATTCTCATTGTTTATTAAATAAATTTTTTTTGAATACTTATTTACTTCATTTTAAGTTTGTCACAAATACTGAAGAGAAATTCTTATGTATTACATTTTTGCATCGCATTTTCATAATTATTTCCGTATGAAGATGTTACGGAATATATATCTGGTTGTTATATTAGTTGCTGATAATTTCTCATATTCACTGGTATACCATAAGGATTCATACTATGATGCTGATTTGTTGCCAAATTTATTTTTTGTATTAGTTTATAAATAATAATCAGAGTCAAAATGAAGATTGCGATACCTATCAAAGATCCTATTACAATACCAACGCTAACTATAGAATTATTTGAATATGTAGAAGTACATCTATTGTTTCTTGGATTAGATGAAGAATAATGACATGATGTTGTTCCACCCATTATTTATAAAGTATGTTAAGCTATTGAAAACTTTATCACGCCAGGAAAAAAAATTTTAATATGAAATAACATTGAAAATGTTGTATGTTTTGAAGTAAATATATATTAAACAAACATACAAAAAAAAGCTTGCCAGCAATTGGAAGTAACACATTTTTCAATAAAGGTACGATTTTAGAAATATGAACTTATTCAAGCGTTTTAGAGTTCATATGTATCTCCACATTCTCAAGATATTCTAATTAATACTGTTTTTATTAATTGAAAATATTTTATTTAAATCATGAACGGTTGTAAGAATACACACAGAAAAAAAATTAGAGTCTGTTATGTTTTATAAAAGATAGATTAATTGTAAAATCATTGCAAAACAAACGATATATTTCGTGTAGGATATTAAGTAATTTGTAATACTTGAAGATCCTAAAAATTTCTCAAAATCAAATTGAATTTTATATGTATTTTGTATATTTTTAATATTTTCTAATGAATTGCAATCATTTGTATTATTACAAACATATGATACATAATCCAAATGACTAACGCGATCATTTAATAAATGAATTCTTCCATCAATATATCTCCATTTTTCAATTGATTCGACAGTTTTTTCACAATATGAACATACTCTTTCTGTATGTAAATTTTTTGGATCAACATTAATAAATGTTGTACAAAATGAACAATCATCTTCTTGTGTTGTTGTCATCCGACGTGCTGGTTTACATTCACTTGAATTTGTAAAATTTGAATAGATGAAACATCCGATAGAAGTTAATGATTTTGATTGTCTAATAGATAAAATTGAAGGTGGTTTTATTTCAGTTTCTGTTGATTCAAGTAAAGGTTTAAGAACAAGATTAGGATTATTACAATTATCTGTTAAACAATGGTACAGAATGTATGTAGAATAATTTCCACTATTATGTTGAGTAAATCCAGTCAAAACATAGGGAACATCTTTATTTTCACGAGAATCTAATGCAGTTACACGAAGATCACTTTTTGTTCCATTTTCTACTGTCGAAATACCCAATGAACAGAACTTATTTGGTGTAACGATTGTCGTACAATTGAATGTCGAAGGGATATTATCGGGTGTTATAAGAAAATTATAAATCTTTGGTTCACACTCATAACATTGTAACATTGAACATGGATTTATTATTATTGATACTAACACCAACAGAGGTACAAGCATTATTTCTATAAAAAAAAACGCACAAAATGATAATTGTTTGTTCACACTTTAAAGTCTTTTCATTTATTTATTGCGATTATAGAGGCTGAGAACAAATCAGTCGAAGTTTTAAGAAGACTCAATATGTAACAAAACCTCTTATCTTACCTTTACTTGTTTTACAAAAAGCGAATAAATGAGATGACTTACTTTTTTTCTGGTTTATATTTATCACAAAAGATAACAAAATTCAACTTTTATCTTTTTGTTTCTTTGGATGACTTCATAGTCCTTCTAAGATCTAGTTGATTCTTGAAGATGTGAATGATGGTAAAACAAGAACACCCACACCCTTTTTATATATAACAAAATTGCAAGGTACTATGAAAGGCACTCCAGCATATTGAACGTCTTTTCTTTTTTCTCTTGCGTTCTTTTCTCCGTAGCCATGGAACTTTTGTTGACATTTAGAGCCATAAAAGAAGAAAACAATGTTTATAAAAATACGCATGTCATTGCATTTGACGCTTGTTTAACATGGTGAAATTACATGTTAGTTGGACTTTTCTAGAAAAAGATTACTTGTTCATTTCACATAATTATGCTATACTATTACGCTTTGTATAAATTCTTTCATTTCTGGATTGTCTACTCAGTTTTATTTTCTTCATTCGATAGACACCATCAAAATTTCCATACAATGGCTACTAACAAGTATGATTTTCGTGCCATTAAAAATTCTTCCTATTAGGAATCTAAGAAAAATTTGTATATATTTCTCATCAATTTAAGATTCAAATTAGTGTTCGTTGGAGACACAGATGTTGGGAAATCGTCTCTTGTGTCTCGTTTTGTGGTATCTATTTTAAAAAATTTCTCGTCTTGAACGGATACTGATTTCTTTTAGTATGACACATTCACGGAGAAAGCATCACCGACCGTGGGAATCGATTTTGTGAGTAGAACTTTTCTCATATTGTAAATAAATATTGACTAATGATTGCATCTGACTTCTAGATAACTCATAGGATTGAGGATGATGGAAAAATAATTCAGTTACAAATTGTAAATAGAATCAATGTCACAATAATAATCATTGTTTTTGTCTCATTTAGTTCGATACTGCAGGCCAGGAACGATATCGATCGTTAATAGGTAACTTTGCTCTTAACTTCAAAATTTATTAAACTGCTTCATTTCTAGGTTCTTACTTACGGGGTGCCAGTGTTGTTATCATAGTTTTCGATGTTACAAATGTAGTATGTAATCAAAATGATCTTCTCTAAACTAGTACTAACGTGTCTTCTTAATTGTAGAGATCGTTTCAGAATGTTAAAATGTGGACACATGAAATCGATAACATTATATCTACTGATCTGAATAAATTGTTAGTCGGTAACAAATGTGATTTGACAGCGGAAAGAGTTGCTGATTATGCACAAGCTAAAGTATGTGATACAAAAGAATTTTGTCTCGTAATTGTTAATCTTATAGGATTTAGCTGATTCATTGAGTATTCCATATGTAGAAACATCAGCCAAGAATGCATCGAATGTTCAAGAAGAATTCAAAGCGAAAATCAATTATTTGATATCAACCACTTCAGGAATACCCATAGAGATATCAGATATCAGTGCTAAATGTAGTATAAAACCACTGGAGACTACCATTGAAACAAATGTTGAAGAGTAAGTTGTCTATGATCATTAGATTCTAGCATCCTTAAAAATCTATAAAACGAACGCATGTTTATCGTTTAGTAATCGTATTTTTAAACTCGTGGTACTCGGTGATTCAGGTGTGGGAAAAACATCGTTATTCCTACGTTTTGCGGTAAATATTAATCACTTCATGTTCCTCATATTCACATTTTTGTATCTTTTAGAATGACGCTTTCAATGATATTTTCTTACCTACGGTTGGTGTCGATTTTGTAAGTCGTTTCTTTTAGCCACTATTCGCAGAATCTAATCAAAAGTTCTCTTGTAGATGAATCATGTAATTAAGCATAATGGAACAACAACTAAATTACACATTGTATGTAGATATTCGTATTGTAGAGAAAAACTTATTTTGTTTGAATCTTTTAGTGGGATACAGCTGGTCAAGAACGATTTCGAAGTTTAATAAGTAATTTTCTTCCTCTCATATACTTCGAATATGGAAAAAAGCCATAAAAATTACCTTTCTGCGTTGACTGATTGATTTATTGTTACACTTGTTTTCAGGTTCTTACTGTCGAGATTTCAAAGGTGCTATCGTAGTATTCGATGTTACAAATTTAGTATGTCATCAAAATTTCTTGTGACTGAACTAGTATTGAATTATTTTTGTTAAGAAATCATTTGAGAATGTTACAAGATGGTTACAAGAAATCGATGAAAACAGTAATAACGATGTGAAGACATTATTAGTCGGTAACAAATGTGATTTGACATTGGAAAGAGTGATTGATCATGCACAAGCCAAAGTATATAGTTCAAAAGAATCATTGAATCTGTCATCTTATGAGTAATCCTTTTGTAGAATTTAGCTGACTCGTTAAATATACTATATGTGGAAACATCGGCAAAGAATACAACTAATGTTGAACTAGCATTCATGTCTCTGGTCTCTGAGATTATGCCAAATCAATCATCAGTCAAAATAGATGGTACAGATATTGAAATTGGTTTACAAGAGAAGTAGAAAAACCATTACTCCCCATCTACTTACATTTTTCATGACATTATATTATTATTCTTTTCTCATATATTATATAAATCGTTCGCCTATATCATACATACAATTCTCCATTGCGGTCGATACGCGATGAATACAGAGATTATAGCTAACAGGATCATCTTCAGGATGTGGATGTCGTTATGAGAGTAATATGATACCCGCACCCACGCCTATCCTCGAGATGATTTGTGATTTTTCTTTAAATCATTCTAAACAATTATATTAGCGTCAAAGCCATCTATTGAGATCCTTCAACAAAGTTAAAGTCTGGATCATGGCAGACTGGACTCATCCTCCTACTCTTAACATCGGTAGAGACTTTCAAGATACAGCTCGTTTTTATCATATCATGAGATGTTAACAGCGTTCAAATCAAGTTATTTTCCATAACAGATACTATATGATGCACGCTAGATCAAATGGAATCATAGAAAATTTCAATGAGTCAATGTGGATCGTAAAATTAATTACTTTCTATATGACACGACAAACTATAGAACAGAAGAGTGCAGATAACGAGTTGTTGATATACAATTCATCGCGTTCAGTATCTTGTCGTTACAATAGAACGTTATAGGATTTATTTTCAAATAGAAAATGAAACAGCTAATTACGACAACTTCCTCCCATAGCTGATAGAGTCAACCAGCCATGCTTATCGACTTTTTCATATTTAACATTATACCAATACTCGTCATTTACAAATCGAAATGTGCTCATAGATTGTTTCGTTTGATACTCGAGTTTGTTGATGGTCACCGTCTTTATACTTGAGAGTAGATGTTTTAATTTTTCTCCATCGTAACAATAATCTTCATTTAACATTCCACTTATTTCAACAAGTTTCACGTTTGGCATCGCGTTGATTATATTAGAAAAATCATCGAATGGTATGTTTTGAACACCGACACAGAATTCTTGAAGTGTAGGTAACGCAGGCAACGACGGCTTGCCACGGTGTTCCCATGATTCATAAGTCCATCTACAAATGTCTAGTCAAATTATAATACCAAAAAATATCAGACATAAACGTACCCATCGGACAAACCTATCCTAAGATGTTTCAGACTTGTTGAACAGCGAAATATCGCTGTTAAATCGTTCATTTCACAGTTGATATTTAATCGTATGATAGAGTTCGTCACTGACAAGTTGTTATCGCTAAGTTCGAGATTAAAATATCCATTATGCAACGTAAATGCTGTTAATTGGGGCAACTGATTTTGGCAAATAATATTGCTTGAAAGTACGGACTTTGTTGCGCAACCCGTCTGAGTATAAAAAGCCAATTTTCTTAATGTTTTCAAATTGAGAACAATTTGCAGTATCATCTTAATCTTGTCGTTATAGTAATCTGGCACAAAGAAAAAAATACACATTTATAAGTCCATGAAATCCTTTGATTACCTGCTGCGTGTGTTTCATCAAATATTAATACTTTCAATCGATCGAATTTCATTTGACCACACGTCGTCATGAATTCACTGGTATACGGTTTTGTTAGTATCAATGAAGTCAATCTAGATGAGATGAACGGTATTACTGATATACAAAAGTTATAAAAATCATGGATTTTGTCTTTTGGAAATAATTGTGCATTGAATTTGAATCGAAGGCGACTATCGCACAATATCTGATTAAATCGATAATTAAGATTGAACCAACCACGCCATAGGGAAAATAAGTCTATATATTCCCATAAATCCATAATCGTCTCACTACTGAGTTGTTCAAACTGTGTAACCATTTTTATTTTATTGTCACTAGATGAATCTGTCTTTAAGTATACATTTGACGTTAGAGCAGATGAGATTACGAGAGGAGCGAATGGAGAGAAAAAGCATGAATAAGTTATAGCTTTTAAAGATGTCACTATTCACACAAGTCAATACAGATGTAACGAATACAAAACCATTTTAACGTTTTGTCATTCCTTTTCAGAAACATGAAAAGTATTTTTGACTTCATCTTATCACAAAATGTCTTCAAGAGAATGGTGGGTCGACTGGCTCTATGAGCCTCGCTTATTTTAATTATGAAGTGGCACTAGCAAAGTGACGTATTGACTACTGAATCAATAAATCCTTTCGAAGATATGACTGTTAGGAAACTTAGTTAAAGAAAATGTAAAATAAGCATCTTGAGAGTGAGAGTGTGGGTGGATGGTTGAGTATGGATGTGGAATGAATGTAGTACCATTATTATACCGATACTCACATGCACACTCCAAACACTTTTCTAAGAGTTGTAGTTAAGCATTTTCGAAAACTCGATTTTCTATTAAAAATATCACAAAAATGGAATAGTTAACTATACTTTGATGAGTAAAATATGTTAGCAATAGTAGTCAGAAATGAAATCTTTCCATAGTTTTGTAGGTCCATGTCTGGCAATTCTGAAATGCACGCAACAATCAATAAATGCATATACTGCCGACATGAGACATACTCATTTTTTCTAAAAGCTTGATATAATAGCCATTCGCATATTATTTTAAAATAGCCATCAATATCGATACTAAATAAAACATCAAGAATTTAGAACAATCTTTCTTTCTTTCTAATTAAATCTTTGAGGCCTTATTATTTTTTCATTGAATTCAGCTCATGATAATCAAAAGCGAAGTTAAAATATAAAATAGTATCTGTTCACATGGTACTAAATACCGTACTTAGGTCAAAAAGTATTCATATTGATGCAATCTCCAGTATCAGTAAAGCATTGATTAATAAAAAATGTTTCGTTAAACTTTATACATTTTGATATTAATTTTTTTATAGAATAGATGTATGTACTGTAAAATAATGATCTATACTTTGTTAGAAACTATTGATCTTTTAACAAGAATGAAATAAATAAAAAAACGAAGATGATAAACAACTTATAGCTATATTTTTATATAATGCTTAAATGATCAACTAAAAATAAATGTGAATAATATTTTAAAACTTTTTCTCTTGGAGCATATCTTGAATAACATGAATGTTTATTAATTAAATATATTTTGTGTAACTGCTGATGGTGCTGATTTTTCAAAGCGTTCTAATCGAATTTGTTCACCGTTATTTGTTCGAATACTTAATTGTTCCTGACCTTGAACTTCCAAATTTTGTATACTAGATATTAAACTACTAACAGCATCTTCTCTTTTCATTTCTTCTGGTGGACCAAGCATCTTTGTTGACATCACATGAGACGATTTCCATTGATTTGATGAAGAATTATATTCTAATCCACAATTTAAACTATTAACAACACGTGCATGAATATGATAAATATTTTTATTATCATCATCTTGTACTTTGATTTCAAGTTGACAACCATCACATTCAGGATGTTGAGGATAATCAACAATTTTCCAATGACCTTCAACACCATTATATTGTAATCCTGTACGATTTAATCTTGATGGAATTTGCTGAGATCGAGAAATTTTAACTTGACCATTTGCCTCAAAACTAACAACTAAAAAAAAAATCTTCATAAGATATATATATACATATAGATTTATTTTACCAGGATATAATGGTTTTGGATATGGTGATTGAATATGAAATGCTAAACCTAATGGACGATCATTATGAAAAAGATACATTTTTAAATCTTTCTCGTTTAATTGTAATAATATTTCAACTTTATCATTTTTTTTTATTTGATTACCAAATGATTGAACTAATAGACCACTACCATCCGATAGATTACCTAAATATTTCATTGCTTTTAAACCCCATCCATCTTTAAAACCTTGGTCGGTTGTTAAACCAACTGATATAATTCCACAACTTTTTTCATCTAAATCTTTAATATCAATTTGCCAAAAATATTGTCCATTTTTATCAGCTGGATCTTTAAACATAACATTTATTGGACTACCATATCCACTATTACTTTGGCATGTTATTGTATCACCATTAACATTAACAGCACATGTATTTTCACTTTGTTCAACTATCCACGACATAATTTTCGAAAAAATCTAAACGAAATGAAAAAGTGTAATCATTTGGCAAGATTGATTGAGTTTATAATAATGATATTGATATAGTTTTTGATAGAGAAAAAAAAGAATAACTGTACAAGAAGATGGATGAATCGTTTTATGAGATGTCGTATATTTTTCTTTCTATTAGTAATATGAAATAAAACAAAAAGTGAAAGATGATCTATTGTGAATATAATAAATACTTAGAATGAAAACGATATATGTATAATATTATCGAGAAAGTTCATTGATTGAAAAAAATCACGAAATACCAATGCAGGCAACTATTGTAACGAAAGATGGCGTATATTAACAGGTAGAGAGTTTGGGTATGGTGTGGGTGTATCTTTTTATTCTCTTATCTTGCGTTCACCCACACCCATCAATTTAATGAAATCAAAGAATATGTTTACGAATCAAATCATTTATTTTTTGAAACGTTGAGCGTGGGTATTAAAAACTATTAAAGTTTTGAATTACTATAGTGAATTTATAAAAACAAACAAGGTTATACAAATACATTATCATATGCTGAATAACAAGATTAAAAATAATACAATAGAAGTAGCAGATACTATATAATTACTTATGTCTTATTAAAAACTTGATCTAGTGAAGTTTATTTGTAATTATATATAACTGTATTTTTCAATATTTTGTATATTATATTGATTCTTTTTAGTGTGGATGGGTGCGGGTTTTCACTCTATCTACTTCATCCACACCCACACTTATACCGACACCCACATCTGCCCACATGCACATCCATATCATAAAATAAAGTCCGTGCTTTCTCAAGCATTGGAACAGAGCTGGGCGAGTATGGACTTTCTCGAGTACGAGTACGAGTATGAGTACCGACCCTCCGAGTACGAGTACGAGTACGAGTATGAGTACGACAAAATCGTACTCGAGTACGAGTACGACAAAACCGTACTCGAGTACTAGCACGAGTACCATTGTATAGAGCGTGGTCTAGAGTTTTTGCCATAGTTGGTAGGGGGGAAAATCTATATTTAAACAGTCGAAACAAAAAGACGTCAAGAATTCATGTCATCCATGCAGCACATAATCACATAGTAATTTTTTATGAGACATAATTAAGAACTCCAAGATCATATCCTCGAGTACGAAAAAAAATCCATTCGAGTACGAGTACGAGTACCGACCCCTCGAGTACGAGTACGAGTATGAGTACCGAACCCCCGAGTATGAGTACGAGTACGAGCAAAATGGTACTCGAGTACGAGTACTTCGAGTACTTTGCCCAGCTCTGCATTGGAAGCTTTGTAGAATAATTTATATAGATTGTGAAATTGTGTAGAGTAAAAAACTTATACTGTTTTTCTTTTCTAAATCATGTAAGATGTCAATCGGAAACAAACATAAAAGCGCTCGAGCGACTTTGATTTATTATTACTACATCATCTTTTATCTTGAGGGTAAGTGTGAGTATTATATTTGTTTCTCACTCATACCCACGCCGTATAATTAGAATAATAGATTTTTGGTATAAAGATCCTTTTTTCTGCTTTATTTTAAATTCAATTCGATCTCATAGGATAAGTGAGTTGATTTTTTGATAAGATAAAATAACCAAAAACAATGTCAATTTTTCAATAAACAGCTTTTGCAATGTTATTAACAGTTTACCACTAACACTGCTATACCTTTAACATAGTTTATTTCACATTGTACTTGAAATGGTTCGTGTCTGAATCTGCCATCAAATCAAATCCCTTCATGAACTCTTGAGAGTGTGGGTGTGTAACAAAGAAACCCACATTTATACCTTTAAGATATCTTCGGCTTATTGACTATTATGCGACACAATATTATTAGTAGTAATTTAAAGTATAACATCAAGAATTCACCAAGAAAAGCAGTTATTTGAAGAGCGCGAATGCAATCCAATAAATTTCTGTAGAGAAGAATTCAATAATTGAAAAGTATCAATGTTTGTATATGTTTCGCCAATTAAACGAGCACATAGACATTTCAATGCAGTTGGCCTCGGAGTTGGCTGAAGAATCCGAATAATCTGTGGATTTGTCAAATAATCTAATGGAGTTTTATTTTGATTATTAACACAGTCAATATGACATTCAGCATTGTTTAGAATTTCGATGATCGTCGGATCGGGTGTGTTTTGACAAACAATATGAAGCGGTGTATTACCGTATCGAGTTCGAGCATTAATATCTAACGAATTCCTTCCATATATTAGAAGTAATTGCAAAGCAGATCGATTAGGAAATTGAATATGAGGTGTTGTTTCAGATGAACGAAAAGTAAGATTATTCGATGTTCTTTGATTGACACATAGATGTAGCAATGTTTCACCAGTCTCAGTTGTTGGTCGCAGTCGACAGAGATTATTGATCCATCGATAAATAGATTGTCTTTCTACTATACTAATATCGTGTTGTTCTAGAATTTTACTAGCAATAATCACTAAAAACAATGCATTATTCACATCTGTCTCCCGAGATTGATTGTAACATGGTTGAAGTGCGAAAGAAGCAGTTTGTAAAAAACGATTAACCGATACTTTTTGTTGACTGGACATCATTCGACATAAAATCCAAACTAATAAAAATATACTCGATGCGCCTTGATCTATTTCAATAAAATATAAACAGACATCGAATGTTTGTTCTAGTTTTCCTGCTGATGCCAATCGTTGAATATAATCTTTTAATCCATTAGTGAAAATCTGACGTTGTCTAGTTGAATAAAGACGTTCTTGAATCAATAAGAATTCGATAATGATTCGTTCGTGATCATTCACAATTGCCTTAAGTTCATCGACTGTTTGACATTCTTGATAATGATCATAGATCGATTTTGGTGGTTGTGTTAGTTTTGGTAATCCCATTGATTGTCGTTGTTTTAGAGAAATTTCTAGAAATGGTGAAAGCGTCTGGATTGTCTCAAGTCGAGAGAGATTGGAAAGTTCGGAAACAATAGACCATTCAAGATCATCTGGTGTACAAAACGATTGTTCTAAGAGGAAATTCATAATATTGTAAGAATGATGTTTCACTACTAATGTTAACAAGTGTTTATATGGTGTTTCCATGGACTTTGGAGCAGCATCTGCCTTCCAAAGCAGACAAAATACTTCCAATGATTGATTCAGTACTGCACAGTTCAATGCTGTATCAGATAAACTCACACTTGAACTAATGGAATAAACATCAGCTCCATGATTAAGCAAGTATTCAACAATGGCAGAATGATTGGAATAGGCTGCGCATATCAAAGCGGTACGTTGTTTACTATCAAATGATCGAGTTTTATTAACATCTGAATATTGATTCTCAAGAAGAAAACGAACAATATCCAAACGATTTTTAATTGTCGCTTGTAACAATAATGGATACGAAAGATGATCATCTGTACCTTTATTGACACTTGCTTGATCAAGTTCAATTAATATTTGTGCAATGTAAAAATGACCTTGAAAACATGCACAATAAAGAGCATTGGCACCTTGTATTCGTTGTCCATTATTAAAAATAATATCGCCTTGTTGTTCCAGCTGATCCTTTGCATAACCATAATTTAAAAGAAATTCAACGATCTTGTTATTACCTTGAAGACACGCAAGCATCAATAAATTTAACTGGTTTTGATCATATCGAATAATAATAGTCAAATATTCATATGGATCAGTCAATGTATCTAATAGAGTTTTCAATTGAATGATAGAACTTTGTTGTACATATTGACAAAGTTCATCTAGATATCGTTCGTCGATATAAAGATTAGCAATTGAATACGTCTCCTCCTTCATCATTATTTGTCTGAAAAGGACAAAAATTCATGCATATTATTATATATATTTTAGTATGTACATATGAGTCATAGAATAAACAGCCATTGCAATATTTCATAATTTCTTTTTTCGTACATTTCACTTATTCTGAGGCGTCATGTTTTTGAAGTAATTACTATGTAAGTACAATACAAAGCTATTTCTTCAAACGTTATGAGTAAATATATCGACAATTATTAGCTTGATACTTATATACATGCGAATTTTCAAAACATCATCAAAGGGTGGGTGTGGGTGTGTGAGGGTGTGGGTGAATAAAGAAGGAATATCCACTTCTCACTCATATATTCACACTCACACTCATTTTCATCCGACATTGTCAACATCTTAGCTTTTTTATTTTAACCTATAAAATAAACTTTTCTTTGAAAATTATTGAGTTTTTCATATGAAATTTTATCATTTAATATTGCATATTATATCATGAAAAGGTAAATTTTAAAATATCGAAATATTATCACAACAAAAGCGTTAAAATTGTGAATTGTAAGAATAAAGATATGTATACATTGACATTTGAGATCTTAAATCTTTAAAAATCTTGTATTATAATCAATCAAAATGATTATAATAAAAATTATTTTTTAGTGAAAAATTTTTCCTTAACATTTGAAAATATATTGAATGATGATAATATTAATGAATATAATTTAATTTTAGTCTTCAATAGAATTCTTGTTTAATATTATCCAAAATAATACAATATGTGATTAATATTTGCAAATGATAATGTTATTAACATGCTATTGATTCGTTTGAATAATTGATCTCATATGAATTCTGTTTATAATATTTTGTAATAAAATAAAAGATTTATGTATTTGGCAAGATCTCTAAATCAAATGTTAGATAGTGATTGAATAGAAATTTCTAATAAAATTCTCAATCATGTAACATGACTTGTTCATTATCATTTGCTACTTGTATCAACAATCAAACAGTAGATTTTCACTATGAATGAATCTTACTTAATTTTAGTAATTAATCTTTTTTCAAACATACATTTTCGATGGTCTTTCGTTTTCAAATTCGCCTGCCTAAATTTATTTCTGATCT